GGTAGACTACATGTCTCAAGACCAAGTAGTAGCCAGTAGTGGTGTTAGCCTCTCCTGAGCTGAGTCTCACCCACATTAATAGCTCAGTCAAGTCCCCTCAGAGATGAGGACACTTGGTCCCCAGAGGCCATCTTAGTGTCATTCACTGTGGACTGTTGAGCAGATAGGCAGTTTAGAAGAAATTCGGAGGTCAAGCAGACATATGGAAAACTAGTCATTTTTCCTAGCTATTAAAAGAAATGCCCAAGATTAGCTTTTTAATGTCTTGATTCAGCAGAAGCTGGGGGAAAAAAAAAATGATGGTGCCTTCTTGGCACTTCCATTCACAGCTTCAGAGAAGAGTTACGAAATTGGTGTAGCCTTCTCTGGCAACCTGGAGGTGGTTACCAGGTGCAGCTTATGTAGTCGCATGTGGTTTCACCTAGTTGTCATGCTTCTAGGAACTATGAAAGGTAGGAATTTAATTTAAGGAAATGGATTAAAGACCTACTCAAAGAAGTGTGCCTAAAGGTTACAGCATTGTCTGAACACTAGGATTTTAATAATAAGTGTTTAAGTAAATTGCCATGTGCCTGAATGTTAGATCTTTATGGTGTAGCTAAAAATGATATAAAATATCATCTTTATAAAGTGTATAGATGTATGTGGTCTGTTGTGAGTAAAAAGGCAATTAACCAGGTAATGTGAGCTCTACCATTTTTAAAAGAAATCCAGATGCATTTAGCAGTCAAGTTAAATAAAACTCCAAACCTTGGTATTACCGATAACTTTGTTCACTTGCATTTTTGAAATTTCCTACTATGAGCATCTATTTCTTAGTAATATTTTATACCACCACACAGGAAGGTGTGTTTCAGCACAAGTTTGGCTCCCTGCTGGGATTGGAGAAGAAAAGGGACTTGGGGTGATGGGAGGAGGGTGAAAAGGAAGGGTCCAGCTTGGGGGATATGTTTGGCTTGGTGATGAGTGGAGCTGTCTATCTAAAGTTAAATGTGAGCAGGTTGGAAATTCTCGTTAGAACGTAGGACATATTTGGAAAAGCACTGTGGGTTTATCAAGAGTAATAGACACAAAATTGCTTTTAAATAAATCCCCATCAGACACTATTAAATACAGACCTGCGTACTATAGTTCCCAGAAACACTATTCTGTCTGCCTTTTCAAAGACACTGCTGAAGATGTCAGGCCCTCATTTTATAGACACACTGTTTCTCCCTATATAAATTATCCTCTACAGATATTTATGTACAAATTGAAAATGGCTGCTTTAGCTTTTTAAAAAGTAAGTAATAAATGAGTGAATTCTTATAAAAACTGGACTTTGGAGTCTGTTTAAAATGTGAAAAGCTTCCCTCTCCCACTCCCATTACACAATATATTCTTCTACTTATGGGTAATCAATTAACATTATTCTGTAGTTACCCTTTTTGTATTAATTTTTATATACAGTGGTATGTATGAATGAGTATATACTATAGTCTTGAAGTTTTTGACTTAGATTCTAGATTAACTCTGCAGCTTTGTCTATTTCACTTATATCACCTCCTGTGAGTCTTTGTAAGTAATTTCCTAGGCTTAATCTAAGTTAATCTGACATTGCTATTTCTGTCGTACAACTGATTTGCCCTTACTCCACTGCCTTCCTGGAACAAACTGGTCAGTGGGGCAGATTGTTGGAAAGTTAACAATAAGTTGTCCCAAAATTCACCTACCAGTTACCTCTCTGGAATTCAAAACCACACGGCAGGTTCAGTAACTGGTGACAGAACTAATTTACAAAAGCCACCAGAAGACTGTGTTAGGCCTATGTATACTTCTTTCAGGTGTACTTATGACATATTTTGAGTATTTTTTTCCCTGCCAAAAATTTGTATTTCTTTGGAAGAAAAATATTATCTTCCTGGTTCTAGGGTTGGCTAGTCCTGTAACCCCAGGAAGTCACTTCCTCTTTAGGAACTCTCTTTCTGCATAAGGGGAATATGCTACATGTTCTCTAAGGGGTTTTTGTTTGTTTTGTAAGTAACAATTCCTTCACACTTTTTTTTCCTCTAAGGTTTTTAACGGGAGGTTCAACATTCTCTGATTCCATCACATTGCCTCCTTAGCATCTAAAATCAAGGTGAATGGTGGTGTATTGAGTCTATACCACACATGCATAAGCGAAGGTGCCGCTCCAGGTCCCCCACAGTTGTCCTAGGTTGAGGTTGAAGGTCAGCAGCAAGACTGTGGCTGGGGTGGAAGTGTCTCAGATCCAGCTCTCGGTGCTTAGTATTTAGCACTTTTAGTGATTAGCTTTAAAAATCTAGTGTTCCATATTCCCTTCCCCAGCGTGCTCTCCTCCATGTACAAAATGTACCTGTGGTGACCTTGAGGCTCCCCAAGTCACCCAGCTGGTATTTCAAGATAGGTTAGCTTTGAAAGACACTGGTTCGCTACCAATTATACAAACTCAAAATATTGACCTAAGTGTAGTGAAGGGTTTCAGATACAGTGCAAGTGTCTCTTTGTGGATTCCTTGTGTACATCCTACTTGACCCAGAGGCGCTGGGTAAAGGTTCATTGTCTTGCATTCTGAACATACATGTTCCGGAAGGACATACTGTGAGCTCCAGTCTCACTGACTAATGTAACATTTCCCCAGATTTCATTTTTTTTAATTGTTAATTTCTTTTTTCCTTTTCTCCTTTCTTGTTTTGCCTCCAGAAAGTACTGCCTTATTCTGTAGGATAGAAAAGGCAAACCTGAACACTAGGATAACATTCTACCCTCTTCCTAAAATTCCACATTGATTCAGTTCATTCCTCTCTTAGGAGCATTGAATGGGGGTTGGATAAACATGAAGAAAAAGAAGCAGGAACAAAGCAGAGAGGAGGAGAGGAGAGGAGTTAAGAAAGGAATAGAAACAGTCTGTGCTGTGGTTATGGAAGTAGCAGGTCTCCCTGACCAGTTGGGTTGGTCAGGCTCCTGGACAAAACCCCAATCTTGGCAGAGTTCTAGAGGCCACAGGACCTTTGGTAATACTGGTGTCTCGGGGTGGAGGTCAGCAGACCTGGGAAGCATTTGGATCTGGACCATTCCCAAGTCAAATTATCTTTTCCTCACACGTAGTTGGAACATAGTTGTTTTGGCTTTCTTTTGGGATTACTAAGCACCGGGAACTCCTCTGAGGGGATATGAGAAAAGAGATAGGATGAGTGGAATCTTGGCTGGCTCCGATTCCCAGAGCCCTAAGGCTTATATGAAGTGGCAATTTCCCAACTTCAGGCACCACCAGTTTTGGGGTTGCCAGAACACAGCTCCTGTCGCTTCCCATTGACCTGTGACTCAGTAGAGTAGCCCGGGACATGTGAAATCAAAGCCTGGCTCATATCTTAATATATATGCAGGGTAGGTGACGCCTGCAAAGATTGTGGAAAAGGCAACTCCATGGTTTAAAGCTGAGTCTTGCAGGAGGATTTCCCAGGCCCTTGAGCCTCTTGGCTCTCTACAACTCTGGAGTATTGAGGGGTGATCTTTAGCCAGCATCACCTTTAGAACAGGAATTGCAGAACCTAGAGGCAGGTGGCAACAGCTAGAGTTTAATTCTCCTTCTGCCTCGATCTTATCAGATGCATGCCCTCTGGCAGGATATTCCATCCCCCTGAGCTGTGGTTTCCTAGGCTGTAAAATGGGAGTAATGATAGGCTTTCTTTTACTGCTTATTACCAGACTTAAGACAGTATGCTTGGCTGAGTTGCTATTAGTAATTAATGTCTCCTAACTTCTTCTGTAAGTGGAATTTGCTTCATTAATATAGTGAAACCAGACAGTTAACTAGTTTCTAAGGAAAAGGAGATGGGGGAGTACACCAGGAATTTTCTGTAAGAGCTACATTGGTCACCATGTCCCTACCGACATATCAGCTGGCTTGAGAAGATGGTGGAAATAGTAGGGATTATGCAAGGCTTCCAGAATTATGCCCAGGGTGTCTGTAAGCTACAACATAGTAGTCAGTTGACACGTTTTTGTCCTCACTACTTCTTGGCAAATGCCATATAATTTAACAAGTGCTTTTGCCAGAGAATCTTTGGTTCCCAAGACTTTTAGGACTTAACACAGAGATAGGGATGAATAGATGTGAATGGCCCACCTTTCCTGGTTCTGAGAGGGCTTCCCATCACCTCTCCTGGATGTGGAGATTCAGAACTGTCCACAGACTCTGCAGAAGATCAACTCTTCTGTCAGTTTATTCTCCAGACAGGCAACACAGCAATTTGATTGTTGCAGTTGCTACTGTGTGAGTGGAAAAGTTAAGACAAGGGACAGCAATGTCAGTGACAAACCAAAGAAGAGCACTACTGCCTTTTTAAATTTACATATTCTTAAATGCCTTTTTTTTTTTAAAGATTTTTATTTATTTGTGCATACAGAACTGGGGTACAAGCCAGAGGTGCAGGGGCGGTGAGAGGATTCACCAGAGACAAAGTGGGGAGCAGAACAGGCAGATCATCGAGGTACACTGTTGAGGGGAGCAGCAGGCGGGTGAGGAGAGGTCTGCGTGGTTACCATGTGGATCACCTCTGGGATGGGGATTGAACTCAAGCAGAAGTGGCTCCAGCTTATTAGTGCAGTGCTTTAACCCTTTGTGCCACCAGGGAGGGCCCTAAATTTACATATTCTTTAGAGTGAAGTTACTGGTCTCATTTCCTAGGTGCACATACTTATCAATGTGTGCTTCTGGAGACAAGCATCCATGTTCCTTACTGAACAATGTGCATGTACAGGTTGTTTCCTCCTCGTTGACTCCTTGTTTAGCTGGGATGAGTAACAAATCTCTTGCATTTCTGTAGCCCTTCATCTTATATGCCTGCTTCCCCCCCAAAACTAAAGGCAGTAGCCTGAAAACCACACCTGGTATTCAGATTCTCCACTCACTCAGCAACCATTTTTTCCTAACTTTTATAAATTTAATATAAAAATACTTTGCTTCTAATCCATCTACCACTTGTTTTCTCTTCCAGCTGCTGCATTATTTGCCTGCTCAGGATTACCTCTGCCCTCTCCATCACGCCTGACCCAAATTTTCCCTTTCTGGTTGCCTTACCTTTCTTCTGGTCCAGATCATCTGCCAGGGTAATTTGGGGCAGGGGACAGTCTGGTAATCCTTTGGTCAAAAGGGCCCACAGTTGAGTTGATTTGATAATCATGCTGCAAACATGCAAAGTCATTTAGAAAAGTAAGTCTTTCTGACTCTTGCCCCAAGGAATTTTGCTCTAACTTATATAGTTATTTGAAATCGCTGTTGATGTGTGTGATGGAGGCCAGGAACAGATCCTCGCTTGTTTACTGCTTGTAGTATGTAAAGAGATATTGGAGAAGCCTGCCTACACATATCTGGGGGTTTTATGCCACCACAGTGTATCTTAAAGATCCCCGGATGTGGACACACTATTGCTACCAAATGCAAACGTGAGTCAGGAAGACTTCCAACTAACATATTTATTTATTTAAAATGCTGTAGAAACTGTTACAGCAGAGAACTGCTTTCATGTTCCTACTTCCAAAGTTCAAGTTTTAAACAGTTGCGTAATGTCACCTCTGTGGGCATCTTACCTCCTGCCTAGCCAGACATGAGTCCAGCTATGAGGTCTGTTCATAGTTTAAGATTTACCAAGACACATCGTTCACTTCCCTTCTCCCTGTATCTCATTAGTGAAAGGAATTGTAGAAATAAGACAAAAGAAGTTTAAGATGCTCTGCTCTCTTGCGAGATAAATGCTGCCTATCACAGCCCATTTTATGTGCTAAGAATATGGCTCTTGTATTCATTTGTGTCCTACCTTTCTCCTACTTTGGAAAGATAAGAAGTCATAACCCTAAAGGGAACCTGTACTGTCGTTAAAGAGCAGAGACACTCGTGTCTTTCTTTGAACATAAGATTGAATGTTCCTTTCCTTCTCAGGGAGTGGGCATCAGGAATCATGAGCAACCCATTTGCACATCTTGCTGAGCCTTTGGATCCTGCAGAACCAGGGAAGAAATTCTTCAATTTGAATAAACTGGAGGATTCGCGATATGGTAGGAACCCAGCTCTATGATGTAATTGCTCCAGCGCAATTAGAATGTTACTTGCATAAGAATAAAGCAATGTAATGAATTAGTCTTTAAGAGAGTTGGAAGAGGGAGCAGCAGAGAATGGCTGTGTGTGCTGGATAAAGCACACAAACACGCGGCTCGCCTTTCTCACATTGCTCTTGTGTAAGTGGCTAATGGTGATTACAGACCTGTTGCATCTTGGTAAAACTTTATAGTCTAGTCTTTGTACATATGTTATATTATTTAATAGCAACCCTGTGGGATCTTGTTTATAAAATGTAAGAAGCCCTTCTTTTAATTTTTTTATATAATTTTATTAATAAAGCCAGGGAAATGCTGCTATAATACATTAACTTTTCAAAATGTTTACCATAATATTCTAAGAGATATAAAATTCAGATGTATACATAATCCACAGGAGAAACCCAGTACTTACAAATATGTATATTTTATAGTCCTGAGGAAGCTGTGGCCCAGAGAGGGTCAGTGACATGATCAAATAACAACTCTGTGGGTAGCAGAGGACAAAGACACAATCTTTTGTATTCCACATCCTGTGTTCGTTCTGCCTTTGCACGCTTGCCTTTTCTAGATATTATTAGTAAATAATTTTCCTACCTCAGTATGGAGCTTTTACTTTACAAATAAACAAAGTAGTTTTTCTTATGAGTTACTGTGGTTTTATCTTAGAAACCATGGTTGCTAGTATCCGTAATACACGATGTTTAAGATCTTATTGCCTTTGAAAGATGTACATGATTATACTTTGGTCTCAACTGCCATAATTGAAATGGATTATTTTCTCATTTCTTGAACATTAGTTTTCATTAATCCAGGGCCAGGTAAGTGTTAATATAAAGAATAAACTGAAATATTTTATTTTTGCTTAGTCTGCAGATTATTTCTACTACTGAGTGCTCTTAAACCCATTCAGTAACCACAAACTGTTGGATTAATTTAAACATTACATTTTTTCCCCATTGGAAGAACAGTCTGATGCTTGGTATCAAACTTGTATAAAGATTGACTTTATAGAACTCTTATAATAGGGTGTTCCATGGCGTTTATTTTGTTGTACTTTCTCCTTTACTCCTAGGACGCTTACCATTTTCTGTCAGAGTTCTCTTGGAGGCAGCTGTTCGGAACTGTGATCAATTTTTGGTGAAGAAAAATGACATTGAAAATATCCTAAATTGGAATGTCATGCAGCATAAGAACATAGAAGTCCCATTTAAACCTGCCCGCGTCATCCTGCAGGACTTTACGTGAGTCTAATATGTCACCTCACTCTCCTCCTCCCAATCTGTCAGCCTTTAGAGAAAGCTTTACACACACACATACACACAGAGCAACTATAACTTACCACCCAAATTCCTGATACCTTTAAAGCAGAAATAGGCATTAAGACCCAGCCAATAATGGGCATCAGTCAGGATTGTCTCAGATAAATTGGGGCATGTAGATAGTAGCCTTTTCCTATAACAAGGATTGTCATCTTTGGTCTCAGAGATCCTGGTCCTACATAATACTAGCAAGTGGTGAAAGAAACAGCTTGGGGTGAGTGATACTGGAATCTTTACTCCCCCAGGTCCAGTCACCCAGTGAACTAGGTTCCAAACAGCTGACCTTGGAACATTGATGTGATACAGAGTTCACAGGGCCTGACTTGTCGCTGTTAAACTTTAGTTCACACATACTGCTATTCCCAGAAACCTTTGCTTCCCATCTCACCCTTAACATTTTGAAATACTACCTTAGCATTTTCTTTTTTAAGATTTATTTATTTGTGCATATAGAACTGGGGTACAGGCCAGAGGTGCAGGGGTGGTGAGAGGGTTCACCAGAGAAACAGTGGGGGCAGAACAGGCCAACTGATGAAGTACAGTGCTGAGGGGAGCAGCGGGCGGGTCAGGAGAGGTCTGCAGCGCCATGTGGGTCACCTCCAGGGAGGGGTCCAAACTCTTGCTGAAGTGGCTTTAGCTTCTTGGTGCTGTGCTTTAACCCACTGCACCACCAGGAAGGGCCCTACCTTAACATTTTAAAATACTATTTCATCCTTCTAGAAACCACATTTTATTTTTATACAAGAAGAGCACCCAAATTTTGTACTGACTTAATAAATGGGGAAAATTCACTTAATAAAATTTGATTTATAGCCTGCTATTCTGAATTGTTCCCAGCCCTTTAAAACAGTCTGAAGCTGGAGGTATGATTTCTATGTCATTTCTAGGTCTTTGTCATCCCACCATGTGAATGGGGACAGTTACGGCAATGAGAGATCTGGAGTCACCAAGCTTAGTGTCTCTCTTTAGCTTTAACGCAGTGATAAAACTGCATATGGAGACACCTCTCAGTCCTGACATTTACTACCTAATTGATTTCTGCTTAAGAAAATGTGTTTAGAAACTTGTACTTTCTGAGTCATCTATAGTCAGCTCCACCGTTGAGATAGTCCTACTGCCAGTATTATCAGTGGAGGGAAAGCTGAAAAATCCAAGTACACCTTAACAGATTTATTTTCTGCTTAATTCTCCCTTTTCTTAGGGGTGTGCCTGCTGTGGTTGACTTTGCTGCAATGCGTGATGCTGTGAAAAAATTAGGTGGAGATCCAGAGAAAATAAATCCTGTCTGTCCTGCTGATCTTGTAATTGATCATTCCATCCAGGTTGATTTCAACAGAAGGTAAGAGATTAAGATGAAAACCTGGATTTTCTGATATGTGTATAAATAATTTAAGCGATATACACACACACACACACACACACACACACACACACACACACACACATATATATATATATTTTTTACATCAAAGTTCAGTTTTGTACATGCATGCTTGTATGCTTTCTCCTTTCAAGTTTAGTGCCCTTAAAATTCCCCACCACCAATTCACCTGTGAACCATCACCATAGTCCCTGTACTCTTCTTTTCCCTGTTTTATTATTATTATTATTAAAGATTTATTTACTTATGCATATAAGAACTGAGGAACAGGCCAGAGATATGGGAGCAGGGGTGAGAGGATTCACCAGAGACACAGGGGGAGCAGAACAGGCAGATCTACTGAAATACACTGCAGAGGGGAGCAACAGGTGGGTCAGGAGAGGTCTGCCACACCTTGTGGGTCACCTCCCTCGCTGGGAATCCAACTCTTGTTGCAGTGGCTTCAGAGAGCTTGATAGTGCTGTGCCTTAACCCATTGCACCCTCTATTGCAAAATATCTCTTGACATATAGTCTTTAAATCTTTTTTTTTTCCTATTTTTTGGATGGAAGCAGCTTGTGTTTAACTCTAGCTTAGGATCTAGGTGAAGACCCACACATGAATTTCATCCATGAGAGCTTTTCAATACAAGTACGTGTGACTTCAAGAGAGTTTGGTGTTTTTTCAAACTACTAGAGTCTTATTCCTTGATTCCATGCAACTGATTCATATCTATCTGTCTCTGCTTCTCTATGTGGATAACTATAATACTGATCCCTTTCTTTTCTGGTTTTCTTTTTGTTTCTGTTGTTTGGGATATCCAGTTCTTTCCTCCTGACAGATTTTCACCAATTACCCTAAAATCTAGGTGCCAGTCAAGGTGTTTCTTACACATCTGCAAGCTGGGTGGGAGTTCAGTTTCTCTGAACGAGTGCCCTTGGGCAGCCGTTTCATGCAGCAGTGCTGGGTTTGACTGCTCTGCATGTCCTGCAAGGGGACAGCTCAATTCCGTGTGTCTCTTTGTGGGTCCCGGCTGAAGGAGAAAGCAGCCATCTGGGAGCACAGGAGAGCCAGCAAAGAATTTGAATTTGAAATAGCTCTTGAGGTGGTCTAATCAAGAACCGCATACAGTCACATTTATTCAGATTAATCAAAGCAAGTCACACGCTGAAGCCCACAGTTCCATCTTTTGTAGAAATAACTGCCAGATTACACAGCAGGGTTTGGATACAAGGAAGACAACCAGATAGGCTGCTGAAAGGCTAGTTTTTTAACTTAGCAATTTAACTACATACTATTATTGTCAACTATCAGTGGGGCAAGAAATAGCTATTCTGCACATTTCTAAGAAAATTTATTTGATGAAGAGAAATATTCATATGAATTAAAGTATTAATAAAGATAAAATCATGAAAAAGTTGTCAGATAACTTGGTAAGAATGACCTAAATTTAGAAGCAACGAATGAATCATAAAAGGAAAACAATCTAAAGATTTAAGGACTTCAAAGTTAACAAAATAACTTGAAAAATATATGCCGCAAGTTTGACAAAGCATGAATTTTTAATAAAGAATGTGTATGATCCATTTAGAAAACTAGTAAAACTCAGCAGATAAATGGACAAGGAAAGTGGGCATTTCATAATATAAGGGAATGCAGATGGTATGGTAGGGAAAGGCGTGCAAACTTAAAGTAATAAAAATAAATTAAATCCTTGAGATACCATTTTCTCTTATCGGCATAGTTAAGATTAGAAAACAAACATTATTAATTATAAAGGTGTAATGAGGTTGACATTTTTATACACAGTTGATAACACTGTAAATTAGAAATGCCCATATCCTTTTTCCTAGAATTTCCACTTCTAGATAATCGGAAATTCAGAAAAAGCTTTATGACTGAAATAGTGTTCATTAAGATAATATTTATCATGAGGACTTAGAAGCATTCTAAATGTTCAACAAAGGAAAATGATTTGTTAAATTATGGTACGTCCTTAAAGTGAATTGTTAGGTAGTTTTGACAGTTATATCTATAATATCCTTAATAGCACTTGGAACATGTTACTCAGTTCAGTGAGCTAGATATGAATTGCATATGTAGAGTGATCTCAGATGAAGAAAAGTTAGCAGAAATTAAATAATTCTGAAGAGCTGACAAATAACTAAATGATCTCTGGAATTCTAATTGTTCTTTATTTTTAGAATAAACTATTGTTTTTTATAGGAAAATTATTTAAGACTCTAAAACATTCAATGGAGGAAAAAAGCTTTGTTTCCTTGGGGATTTGAATAGGTTCCATACAACCTCAAGAGAAATGTAGAAATTGATTATTTCAAATTAATCTTGCCATTATCTAAGCCACATAAATTTAGGATAAGGAGAAATCAGTACTTTGTCTATGAACTGAGTAAACAGACTGGATACTGATCAGCATTTTGCTTTCCTTTAGCAACATGCCTTTTTCCCCTACCTTAAATCATTAGTTCAGATTAATATTTTAGTTTCAAAGGGAAGAGTAGTTAAAAATATTCACATAAACTGTTACCCTATTTGAGAATAAAGGCATTCTTGACATCCTACTGCAGAATAATAAAAATGGCCTCACAAAATCATGCATAACTTTACCTTTTTTGTAAACTGTCATTGGTGTCAATATATTCACCATTTCAGTAGTCTGAAAGGTGAAAGTACTAATGAGAACAACAATGTAATTATTTCAGTGTGTTTTAACTCACAATTCAAAGAACTCCTAAGCTCTTAATGAATCTGGGTCATCATGAAGTTTACTACAATTTTTTTCTTTTTAAACCTTGATATCTGTCAACTCTGGCTGTAATTTTTTTATGGACCTTTTTTCATTTACATTGTAATACTAAAAAAATTATGATAAAAACAGCAAGGCCCAAGGATGAACTTTGATCCAAAATGGTATCCAGATCTAGCAACACTATCTTTTATGTGTGTTATTAAAAGAGAACATTTCTGCTAGAAGTGTTTTCATTGTGGTGGTTTGTTTTTATTTCTTGAGTTTGGTTTTGCAATTTGACCTCCCAGACTATTTCCTCATTTTTGTAAGGAATTAAATGTGATAGGTCTCAGCCTTGGCGCAACATTGTGCTGTGGGCTTGTTTCCAGTTGCTCCCAGAAATGAACGAGAAAAATTGGATAATGATTGGTAAAACCTAATTTTTTCCTCAGTTAAGTATATCTAACTTCTTTGCCTGTTTTGAATAATACTGGCATCACACCATCTTTAGGAATTGATCATCTAAAGTAGTATTGTAATGTTTTACAAACAATCTCAGAAATAACTTTAAAAAACAAATCCCAATGAGAATATCATAGCCGTTTATGATCAGATTTCATGAGTGGGAAAAGTATCTTATTTTTGAATTTTTCAAATACCATTATGTCTAATACTAGAAATTGTAAACTGTGTCCAAACTAAATTTAGATTATGTAACTAACAAATTTCCTCTTTAGTCTGTGGGCCATTCACACTCAGTCATGTTAACAGCACACTAGATTGGATTAAGTTAGGAAAGTTGTGAGCATGGAAAAGTCAGAATTCCATAACTCTATTCATCCCAATAACTTGGAGTATGTTAATTGAACCAAATTAGCATAATCAATGTTTTGTTTTCATAAATAGGAATGTTTTTACCTGGAATTAAACTAAGACAGCCTGAGTGTTTCTGGTTTCTGCCTGTCTTGTGAAAATGCTGTTTATATTACATTCCCCTTCCAGCCCTGCTGTGGCTCTGAGAAGCTCTGACATTTCCTAGTGCTGAGGCAAGAGGACAAGGGGTGATGACTGGGCATCCATAAGTGTCAGTTTGGCAGAAGAGGTGGATGCACCAGTCACAGGTTCCTTCAAAAAGTATCACTTGATCTGGGACCTAAGGGTTTTGTTCAGAAGAGAAGAATTGAAGAACTAATTCTGCACAGAGAGTAGAGTGTTCAAGTCATGAGGAAGGTGGAATTTGGGGAGACTATGAGGCCTACAGTGTGACTGAAGCTGAAAGACTGGACTGAAAGTAGCACACAACTTATAATTTTTTTTTTTAAAGATTATTTATTTAGGGCCCTGCCTGGTGGCGCAGTGGGTTAAAGCACAGCACTAAGAAGCTAAAGCCACTTCAGCATGAGTTCGATCCCCGGCTGCCCCGGAGGTGATCCACATGGTGGACCCTGACCCACCCGCTGCTCCCCTCAGCAGTGGTACTTCGATGATCTCTGCCTGTTCTGCTCCCCACTCTGTCTTTGGTGAATCCTGTCACCACCCCTGCACCTCTGGCCTGTACCCCAGTGCTATATACACAAATAAGTAAGTCTTTAAAAATTATTTATTTAGACATACAGAGCTGGAGCTGGGGTACAGACCAGAGGTGTAGGGGTGGTGACAGGATTCACCAGAGACAGAGTGGGGAGCAGAACAGGTAGATTGATGAAGTACACTGCTGAGGGGAGCAGAAGGCAGGTCAGGAGAGGTCTGCCACACCCTGTGGGTCACCTCCAGGATGGGGATCGAACTCTCACTGAAGCAGCTGCCACCAGCTTATAGTGCTGCGTCCCAACCCATTGTGCCACCAGGGAAGGCCAAATTTTATTTTAAGGCAAGAAATTTGTTCTTTATTAGGAAATGGAAAGCTGTTGACAAATTTCAGATGAGTCATGATCTGTGTGGGTTTTGTTTTTAGGTAACATCAGTTTACATCACTACATGTTTTAGGAGAATAGACTAATACCTCTTCATATGTATCTAGTTCTGCCATACCCACTGCCAAAGCACCTATAAATGTCCACCATAGTCTAATGGACCCTTTCCCCCACTTACTCTCTCACCTTGCCCTCTCCTTCTAGTGGCTTCATATTGTTGGATTTGTTTTGTCTATTCCTTTGTTTCTCTGTATAAAGTATATGAATAAAATTAACCAATATTTGTCTTTTCTTTTTCTGACTTATTTCACTTCACATAATCCCATTTTATTCATATTGTCACAAATGGCAAAATTTCATGTCTTAATAGCTGACTAGCATTCCATTAGGTATATATACCTCATCTTCCTAATCCATTCATCTGTCTTCGGGCACTGAAGATGATTCCATAACTTGACTATTGCACACAGGGCTACAGTGAACGTAGGAAAGCATATCTTTCAATTAGTGTGTTTATGTTTTTTGGACAAATACCAGGAGGTGGAATTGCTGGAGAATATGGTAGATATGTTTTTAATGTTTTGAGGAACCTCCATACTGTGTCCATAAAGGCTGCACAAGTGTACATTTCCACCAACAGTGTACAAGGATTCCTTGCCAACACTTGTTTCTGGGTTTTTGATGTGAATATTCTTGGAAGAGTGAGATGGCATCTCATTGTGGTTTTCATTTATATTCCCCTGATAAGTAATGTTGAACATTTCTCTCGTGCGTCTACTCACCATCTATGTCTTCTTTGGAGAAGTGTCTCTTTTAACTTTCATGCCATCTTTATAATTGTTTTCTTTTTTGTTGAGTTCTATTAGTTATTTGTAAATTTTGGATATTAGTCCCTTTTGGACATATAAAGTACAAATACTTTCTGTTCCAGAAGAGTATCTTTTTGTTCACTGTGCAGAAAATTTCTAGCTTAATGTCATGCCATTTATTTTTGCTTTTGTTTAGATTGCTTTTGGAGTTGAAGACACCACTGAATGGCATCACTGAAAATGCTGTCATGCAGTGTTTTGCCTGTGTTCTTCTATGTATTTCCTATATAAGACCAAGCTTTGGGCATCTTCATTCATTTGAGTTAGTTTTTTCCTGTGGAGTGAGTGTTCTAGTTTCATTTTTTTGCATGTGGCTGATCAATATCTGAACACTGTTTATTGAAGGACCTTTCTCCAGCATTTACTTTTGGCTCTTTGTTTAGAATAACTGTCCGTGAAAGTATGGGTTTATTTCAGGGATCTCAATTCTATTCCCTTTATCTGTGCTTTTTTTTTTTTTTTTGAATTTCATTGTCATACTGTTTTTTATTATTATGACCTTATACTATAGTTTAGTCTAGGAACATGATACCTCTCTCCCTCCTCTTTTTTCAGAACTACTTTGGCTATTCAGGGACTTTTGAGGTTCCATATAATTTCAGTGATATTTTCTCTGTTTTACTAAAGAATTTCATTGAAACTTTGCATTGAATCTTTATATTGCTTCAGTTTCTTTTAACAACGTCTTATACTTTTCATTTAATAGGGCTTGCACATCCTTTGTTTAGGTATTTAATGCTTTTTGATGGTATTGTAATTAGGAATATTTTTCTTGATCTGTTTTTGGTTCACTGTGTATAGAAATGCAACAGACTTTATAGATTTTGTAATCTGTCACTTTATTGCTTTATTATATAGTAGTTTTTTAGTGGAAACTTAAGGTTTTTATGGGCATATTATCTTATTTATAAATAGTGATTGTACGTATTCTTTTCCAATTTGGATTCTTTTTATATCTTTCTCTTGCTTGATTGCTCTGGCTAGTGATCTGTGTTTTGGAAAATTGATTCTGGTCACAAAATATGGGTTTTGTTTTTTTTTTTTAAGACTTATTTATTTATACATACAAGAACTGGAGTACAAAGGTGTGGGTGCTGAGAGGATTTACCAGAGACATAGTTGGGAGCAGAACAAGCAAGTCTACTGAAATACACTGTTGAGGGAAGAAGTGGGCAAGTCAGGAGACCTCTGCCATGCTATGTGGGTCAGCTTCCTGGCTGGGGATTAAACTCATGCTGCAGCAGCTGCAGACAGCTTCATAGTGCTGTGCTTTACCCCACTGTGCCATCAGGGAGAGCCCCAAAAGATAGCTTAAATCTTCTAAGGCAGAGAAATCATTTAGGAGGCTTTTTCTAGAATAAATAATTTTATGGCTATAAGTACTGAATGGTAGGAGAGACATCCATTAAATGATATGTGAACAGATAGGAAAAAGAGATGTAGGAAAGAAGGTCATACATTAGAGTTTGTGCTACTTGAGGTATTTGTGACACAGATGTGCAGTGTCTGTTCCTAAAAGGCAGACATTGACTCGATTATTTGTGACTTGCATTCACTTAATGTGTTCTGCCCACCATGTTTAAAGGCAAGGTAGGAGTCACTTAAACCAAATAATAATTATTCTTAATACTTTCACTCATTACCTCTCCCCTGTAAATTAATGCATCAATGCACCCTATAAGTCTGCAGATAGAATTGCCATTTTGTTTGTTCATCTCCAATAAATTTGACCAGTAATATTTTAAGTCTTTAAGTTTACACATTCATTTTTTTTTCCAACAGGGCAGACAGTTTACAGAAGAATCAAGACCTAGAATTTGAAAGAAATAGAGAACGATTTGAATTTTTAAAGGTATGGGCTGAGTTTTGTTACATTGGCTAGCTTGAAAGACCTGAAGGAGGGATGCATGGAGACAGGTTGTGGACAAGTATGACAGGCATTCACAGTGTGCTTTCCATTTTCCAATTCTAGTGGGGTTCTCAAGCTTTTCGCAACATGCGGATCATTCCTCCTGGCTCAGGGATTATCCACCAGGTGAATCTGGAGTATTTGGCAAGAGTGGTATTTGATCAGGATGGATATTACTACCCAGACAGCCTCGTGGGCACGGATTCACACACTACCATGATTGATGGTTTGGGTGTTCTTGGTTGGGGTGAGTGATCTTCCAGGTTCCTGTTCCATACATGCTCTTCGATGGTTGATGCCCCAATTTATTTTGATGCCATTACATCCCAGTAGTATGAATTTGCATGTTCACAAGTACCAGACAGAAATTTCTGTCTGTCATCTACTACTATGAGTTCCAGTGCCCAAAACAGCATATGGAAGGTATTCAATAATAATACTGGGAAGGATGAACTGCAATAAGGGTTAGGGACATTTAGAATACATGAAAATCACCTAGTATGGACTCCTGAGCCCCACTCTCCCTTTGTTTTTGTTAAGATTTATTTATTTGTGCATACAAGAATTGAGGTGTAGGCCAGAGTTATAGAAGGGGGGGGGGGGACAGAGAGGCTTCACCAGAGACAGAGTGGGGAGCAGAACAGGTGGATCCACTGAAATACACTGCTGAGGGGAGCAGTGAGCAAGACAGGAGCCATCTGCCATGCCATGTGGGTCACCCCTCTGGCAGAGGATTGAACCCATGCCACAGTAGCTGGCAATAGCTTGATAGTGCTGAGACTCTGACCCCGTGCTCCACTTTCCCCTTGATGTAGAATCAAGTAGATTTTGATAGAGGTGTGTGAGGACCACACAGAGAAACACTTAAGAATTTTGAAGAGGGAAGTGGAAAAAAGGTAAGTGGTCTTTAAAGAAACATAATCTGTACTGGTAAATCATTATAATTGGATTACTGTTTACTAAGGCACTGAATTATGCATGAGGGATTGAGTGTAGAAGAAGAAATCATGATTTTGTCCTTTCATTCCTTGCAGGTGTGGGTGGTATCGAAGCAGAAGCTGTCATGCTGGGTCAGCCAATCAGCATGGTGCTTCCCCAAGTGATTGGCTACAAGCTCATGGGGAACCCTCACCCCTTGGTAACATCCACTGACATCGTGCTTACCATTACCAAGGTAATACCATCTATGCTGCCTCTCCCAACAAGAGAGTCCCAGGGACAACAGGGAGGAGATGCATGGTGCAGCCTCTCTAGAGGTTCCCATGTGCCCTAGAAATCATGATGACATCAGAAGAGATAATGGATTGAGTTTTAGATAACTGTGTTCAATTTTACTTTTCTGCTGCTGCATTCATCTTTTCTATTAAAAATTTTTTGAAATTGCCAAATAGGGAAATACACAGAAGTTAAAAGGACATTCATGACTTAACAGAGGCTTTACTTTTAAAAAATAAAATTTAATATTTATGGTTAAGCCATCTTTTAGCCTTCCCCATTCCTAAAAATAACCTCTATCCTGAGGTTGTAAATATCATTCTTGTAAATTCTTAGCTAGAAAATAATGTTTTTTTTCTTTAACCCTGATAGTAAGTAATGCTTCTGATGATTTGCTTCTTTTCACAAAAGACAATTTCACTTTGCAAAGTTACTAGAAAAAGTGACTTTTTTTGGTCACAAACATAAGTTATTCTGTTTGGATAGTTTGCAGGCATGGGGCTTTGAGTTGGATACAGTACTGTTAAAAGTCAGCAAAACTTCTCCTTAGTTTTTGTCTTTGGAATTTAAAGTTGGGTTTATTTGCATGCTATAGCTTACCACAGATGTCATAGCTTACCATAGCATCATTCTTCGGATGGGGAAAATGTAGAGCTCACCCACAGAACTTGACAAAATCCCAGAATAGCCAAAACAGCCTTTCCATGTGGCTTCCCACAACACGATGTCAGTCACTGAGGCTGATGGTTTTTTTGGAAAAGATATGGGAGCCAGACAGTATTTCAGTTACATTTGATTTATATCTGTTTTAGGAAGTTTCTTCATTATGCCCTTAGAAATAAGCCATTTACTGACTCATTTACTGACTCAGCTGGTACAAGTCATTATTTAGTGTTTTTAATATTTAAAACTTCTAAGCACTTCTGTGATCTCATTATAGAGAGATTGTTTCAGTTTTGAAATTTTTTTTAAATGATATTTGCATTTTTGGCATTTCTTTATTTTTTTGATAACTGTTGTGTCAGACTTCCAGTTGAGTTGATGGAAAGATAATAGTGCTCCTGTTGCCTGTTTCCCAGCTTCCCCAGTTGTTAATATCTTACATAAATATGATAAATATATCAAAGTGAAGAAGTTAGCACTGGTATGTTGCTATTAACTAAACTCTAGAAACTTCACCATTTTTTTTCAGTAATGCCTTTTTTTATTCCAGGATCCAAACCAAGTAACCCTTAGGCTTTATTTTCATTGCACATCAAAAGTCAATCAGTGAACTCATTGTGTTTGCTCACAAGGCTGTAAGAATTATGAGGTGATAATCCTGCATGTTAAATATGAACTCTCAGGACTCAGATTTTTCTGTTGTTTTGCTCAGCACCTGCGCCAGGTTGGGGTTGTAGGCAAATTTGTCGAGTTCTTCGGGCCAGGAGTAGCCCAGTTGTCCATTGCTGACCGAGCTACAATTGCCAACATGTGCCCAGAGTATGGAGCAACTGCTGCCTTTTTCCCAGTTGACGAAGTTAGTATCAGGTACCTGGTGCAGACAGGTAAGTGCAGAGGCCTTTTTGTGGCATTTCCTAGGACACTGATAAGGGAAGCGCTACTTTCTACCTTTGCTCTTTGCAATGCGCTAGATCAGGTTTACAAGTTTTCAATCTTCTCTTGGTGGAGGCAGATTGCTGTTGAATTCAAGAAGCTATCATGGTGTGACCAATGGGTATAGCACAGGCACTCGTGGGTCCACGATACTTACACTGGTCTTCTACTAACAGTTATTTAACATGACGCAGGAGATCTCAGAGATGGTCACTAAGTAAGCAGACCTCGTAATGGTGCTGTCTGGGGGCAGCTGCCAGACCTTAGTGTGCATTTGCTCTTCTCCCCTTCATTGGCCCATGGGTTAGATTGATTGACTTAATAATTAATAGAGAAAACTAAGGATCAGACTCCAAGTTAATCCAAGTCTTCTCTCTGATTTTCCTGGGGAAAACCTTCTGGAAGGGGCTATGTAGCAGGTGTGATGAAATATTTTTTTTCGGCCCACCCTGGTGGCATAGTGGATTAGGACGCAGCACTGCAAGCGAGCCGCAGCTGCTTCAGTGCGAGTTCCATCCCCACCCCGGAGGTGACCCACATGGCATGGCAGACCTCTCCTGACCTGCCCGCTGCTTCCCTCAGCAGTATACTTTGTCAGTCTGCCTGTTCTGCTCCCCACTGTCTCTGGTGAATCCTCTCACTGCCCCTGCACCTCTGGCCTTTACCCCAGTTCTATTTAAAAAGAAAAGAATTTTTATTTTCTACAACCACACTGAAATTATTGTTTCTCACTGCCCTGAAGGTTTTGAAGTGAAAAAGTTGTATAAATAAATGAACAGAATCAACCCAAATGAGAGGAGGGAAGAGATAGTGGGAGGGGAGAAGGGAAAACTGCAGAATATATGCAGAGCTAAGACTTGTTCCTGTCCCTCTAAAGGTGGCTACTGGAGCTTCTTAGTGATCTGGCCCAATTGTAATTTCTGTTAAGTTGAAACAGAAGTAAATCATTTCTCATACTAATCCTAAGAGAAGTTTTCCCTGTGCATCTTCATGAAAGAATGGCATTAGATCTCATAAACAGTGGGCACAACAATAGCTCATGATAATGAAGTTCAGACACTCATGTTTTTGAAGTCCATACTGAAAACTGATAATCTTTCCAACTCAGTTAAAATGGGAGGGAAAAAGCTGATTTACTGTGGGTCATTACCAAACTATCATAGTCTTATTCAGCTGTCAGAAAAATGGGTGGATCACATGTGTGGTTGGCATACTTCATGAGCTTTATTGCCTACAACTAGTCTCTTGATAAGAATTAAAAAGCAAGTGTCCAGGGTCATATGCTTGGTGACACAGTATTTTGAGGTTAGACTTTGGACTTTGGAGTCAAATCCCTGTTCAGATCTGGTGTTGCCTAGCTGTGTTCTATGGGAAATTATTTAATCTTCTTGAGCTACCATTACCTCTTCTGTAAGGATAATCATGACAGTACTTGTCTTATAAAGTCATGATAAAGGACTAGACATTGAAATATTAATGCATTTAACATGTTTAACATGGAGTGCTGAGCCTGCCCAAAGTGCTCATAGCTGGCGGTTTGTGGCAGGAGACCAAAAGGATTGTTAATTTAAGAAGAATAACATGGGATTTGGAGCGTGTGGCCAAATGCAGGCAGATGCACAAGTGTGCTTTGATGACAAGCGAAGGCCTGGGAAGCTCATGGTTGAGGACTGTAACCAAAGAAGAAAGGCATACTTCTTCAGGAAATAGTCACTTTGCTAGAAGCCCAGGTCAGTAATGGCCTCTAATAAACACCAGCATCCGCTACAGAGTCAGACTATTAGCCTGAAGCTGAAATTCCGTCAGAGTTGTTGGTGTGTGCATGAGTAAAATGTGTTTTATTTCTATGCTTGCTTATAGAGGTAAAGTTTAACCTGTGACCTGTTACTTCTTAAAATGCGCATTTAGGTCGTGATGAAAAAAAAGTAAAGCATATTAAAAAGTATCTTCAGGCTGTGGGAATGTTTCGGGATTTCAGTGATTCTTCACAGGACCCAGACTTTGCCCAGGTATGAGAGCACCCCATTTTCTCTTCCTCAGGTCTGTGACTTTAGTTGTATGTATATTTAAAAATATACTTGTGGCCCTCCCTGGTGGCGCAGCGGGTTAAAGCACAGCACTGAAAAGCTAAAGCCACTTCTGCATGAGTTTGATTCCTGCCTGCCCCAGAGGTGACCACATGGCGTGGCAGACCTCTCCTGACTCGCCTGCTGGTCCCGTCAGCAGTGTATTTCGTTGATCTGCCTGTTCTGCTCCCCATTCTGTCTCTGGTGAAGCCTTTCACCACCCCTGAGCCTCTGGCCTCAGTTCTGTATGCACAAATAAATAAATCTTAAATACATACATATATATATATATATACTTATATGTATATTTATAAATAATACACACAACACTGACAATTCATCACAGAAGAAATGAAAAGGCTGGAAAGTCAAAAAGATAGGGAATTGTAAACATAATCAAAGAATATAACTTCTGTTTACCTGGCCATTAGATTCCACATGCTTCCCCCTTCTGAATTACAGCTTAATCCTCTTATGTGGAATTCTCTAGAGGGACTGAAGCTATGCAAAAGTTTTAAATTCATCCTAACTACAGATAGGGAAAGAAAAGGAGATGCAGATGAATCAATTATTTCTGATTATCCAATGACTTAACCTTCATTCATTTTTAGGGGTACGAACTGAATCCACATTTCTCTTAGCAGTCGAGATTAGAGGGCAAATTAGATGTGAGACCCTTGTATTATTTCATATTCCATTAAGGGAAGGAAATATTAGAATCTTGAGTATTTCCTGGCACTGATGACTTAATAGCCACATCCCTCCCAAACCATCTTAGAAAAAGTACAACGTGTCATTTTTAGTAGAAAACTACCTTCAAACTAACCTGCCCCCTGTGTATTAGAAGAAATGTTGACTTTCTTGCTTTTAAATAGCATAATTTAGTTTTTTTTCTTGTTGGAGTGTTTTAAATGATCTGGCCTGGATTATGTTTTTTCTTTGCGGGAACAAGATTATTTCTACATTATTTCTTTTTTTGTGGACAGGTTGTAGAATTAGATTTGAAAACAGTAGTGCCTTGCTGCAGTGGACCCAAAAGGCCTCAGGACAAAGTTGCCGTGTCTGACATGAAAAAGGACTTTGAGAGCTGCCTTGGAGCCAAGGTAGGAACTGAGGAAAAACAGGTGGGCATGTCCCTGACGTCCTGCCCCTGCCATTTTCTTAGTATTCTGGCCTTTTTTCACTCCATGCAATCTTCCTGAAGCCTGGAAGTAAGGGGCTTTCTAATCCATCCAGAAGTCTCTAATACCTCCCCCATTAGCTGAAAGCCAAGCATCCTCCTCAGAGCATGTGACTGTCTGTAACCATAACTCAACCCACACTTTTAAAAGCATATCCACTTTTTAGTGGCTCTCACCACATAGTTCTGCTTGCCCAAGCTTTTCAGACCATTGCACTTTTGTTCACACTATTCCCTGCCTGCCTGTCTCTTCCCCATCTGCATGTTCTAGGATCTTTTAGCTCCTCCACAACGTGGCCTCAGATTTGATGGCAGAAAGTCATCTATCTCCCACTTGAGCCTTCCATAGTGCTTGAACTGAAACCCTTTAATGGCATCCCATAGCCTTTAATTTACATCATCAGCACTTTGTTATTTGCACATCTGATTTCCTTTGCTGAAGTTTGAGGATAAGTGTTCTATCAGATCTTCTGTGTATTCTACAAAGCACCAGCATAACTGTTTGTATGCAGATTTTCAATGATCATTTCCTGAACGAATGATTAAGGTTTTATCTTTGGGCCCCCAGCATTCCACCAAATGTTCAGCAATACAGACACACCTTTGAGATACTGTGAGTTCAGTTCTAGACTAACAAAGTAAATGTTGCAAAAAAGGGAGTCAGGTGAATTTCATATCATGTCCTTCTGTGATGAATTGTCAGTGTTGTATGTATTATTTATAAATACACAGACAAGTATATTTTTAAATATACATACAACTAAAGTCACAGACCTGAGGAAGAGAAAATGAGGTGCTCTCAAACCTGGACAAAATCTGGTCCTGTGAAGAACCAGGAATTTATACAATCCTGTAGTTGTTCAGTATGCAATAACATTATATCTTTAAAAAAAAAAACTGTACATACTTTAATTTTAAAATACCTTATTACTAAAAAATGCTAATCATCTCTGAGCCTTCAGCAAGTTATATCATCTTTTTGCTGGTCAAGTATCATATTAAAAAAGTTCACACACAAAAAAAGTTCACAAAGTACAATAAAATAAGGTGCACTTGTACTTTGTTTGCTTTGTTGATTATGATTAGTTGAATCTGAACAAAATGGCACATTTTTCTGAATTTACATAAGACTGGGATCAGTGACCTAAGTCCATATCTATTAAACAGTACAGTAATGTTCTAATTAGAGTTCTAATTAGACTCACTTTGAACTAAATTTGTAGTTTAAGCATCTCCATTTTTGAGGTGGAGTTGAAGTAGTTGTTAATAATTTCAAAACAGACTAATATTTAGAAATCATAACTGCTTTTTAAAAAAATTTCAAATGAATATGGGCCTCCCTGATGGCACAGGGAGTAAAGTCTTAGCATTATGAAGCTATCAGCAATCACTGCAGCATGAGTTCAATTCCCAGCCAGGGAGCTGACCCACATGGTGCAGCAAACCTCTCCTGTCTCACCCTCTGCTCCCCTCAGCAGTATATTTCAGTCAATCTTCCTGTTCTACTCCCCATTCTGTCTCTGCTGAATCTTCTCACCCCTGGCACCTCTGGCCCCAGGTCTTGTATGCATAAATAAATCTTTAAAAAAATATTTGGAAAGAATAAAGAAAATTTTGATTTTTCTGTAGCACTTCAGAATATACTGGCTGAACTATTTATGTTTTGTTAAGAACTGGCTTTTAAATTTATAGTTACCCAAGTACTTCTTAAGTGAGAATTTTGGACTACATATATAACATTGTTATATATTATATTTACACAAGCTTTTTCTCTTCCAATAGCAAGGCTTTAAAGGATTCCAGGTTGCTCCAGATCATCATAACAACTACAAGACATTTATCTATAACAATAGTGAGTTCACCCTTGCTCATGGTTCTGTAGTAATTGCTGCCATCACTAGCTGCACAAACACCAGTAACCCTTCTGTGATGTTGGGAGCCGGTAAGTGACTTGAATCTCCCTCCCCATTGTCATGTGAGTAGAAATTTCCCAGGACATGGCCCAGGCACTTAACTAAGTTCTAACATGGAGTTAGTTCCCTGAGCTTTGTCTGTTCTAGATGCTGAGATTTTCTGTCGCAGAAATAGGTTCACTATAATCGTTTCTAAAGCAGAGTATCAGAAGTAGAATAGCTGATGAATAATATTCTTTTTCAGAATTAATACCAAAAAATAGGAAGAAAGCAAAGAAAGGAATTTCTGGTAAAGCATAGAATCTTGTGTCAGACTTCAGAAGAAAAAAAAGAATTGATTTCATGTCACAGACTATTCTCTATAAAACCCCTGATAAATATTTTTGTACAGTGGAATTTAATCTATTTAGACTCATCTGAATTAGGGCACAGGGTGCTGGTGGATAAAATGCACCTGCATATTATGCAATTCTTGTTAAGTACTTAATATTTACATGTGGCATTCCCCCTAATAGAAGAAATCTTTATTTTCCAAACCTTTAATTGTCCTTAAGAGAAACTCTTGTGCCTGTACACCAAAGAATACCCACAGTTTTCTCTTTGTAAAGTAGACAAGTATATAAGGAAAACCATCTTTGTCCAAGATTCACCTAAGCTATTTTTAATCCGGCATAAACCAGTTTCCTTAAATAAAACACCAAGCTTGTCTATAACTTTTTATCTCTATTACCTTGTTCCTTCCCTACTTCTGTGATGTGACCTAAGAGTACCTAGTGTTCCCTGTAACAATCTAAAAGTACAGTGATCTAGGAAGCCTTTTCTACTTTAAGAAATATCTAAGGACTAGATTTTTAATTCTAGACTGTATTCCTCACCAACCAATGCACACAATTCATGTACTTTAAGAAAGGGCACCTCCAATTATAATTTTCATCTGGGTGATTACAAAGAACTTTTCCCTCCAAAAATTAAAACTCATTCTGAAATGTGTTTATAAATGGCTATAGGTTTATATCTTTAAAAAAAAATGTACATCTCTTATTTATTTCCATAACTAATTTTGAGTTTACTGTAGTCATGTAAGTGGCCCAGTGAACTTTTGGTTTCTCTTAGGCAGCAGAAATATCAAAAAGTGACAACAGGAACAGGGATTTGCCAGGTGGTGGCAGAACATGCAGACTGAAAAGTCAGTCTGTTCTTGAATTGCCCCTGGCATCTAGAGGAAGCAGTCACCACCCAGACCTGTGTTTACCACTTTACAGGCCTGTTAGCAAAGAAAGCCGTGGATGCTGGTCTGGAAGTGAAGCCATACATCAAGACTAGCCTTTCTCCCGGAAGTGGTGTGGTTACCTACTACCTGCGAGAAAGCGGAGTCATGCCCTACCTGTCTCAGCTTGGGTGAGGGAGCCATTTCTTTTACGTCATTGTTTTTGTTATGTTGTCCTACACCTGACTTAACTTACGGGATTTAATAGTGTTGTCTTCTGTCTACTTCTTTAATAGTGTTGTCTTACTTACTTCTGTAAGTAGACCTGGCCTTATATTCCAACAGATGAGGGACCTCTGGGTCAGGAGTGCTGGTGGTTCATTATCCTGGAGTTTCCATAAGGGGCAGAGCAGGGCTGGGAATTGATCCTGTGCCCTGGCTGCTGCTGCGTCTGACTAGATGTGGGGGCTCCCTTTCTCATATATACAAGACACGTTATGGGCTAGCACTGGCTCTGCAACTGACAGGCTGTCTTTCATCATGCAAATAAGTATTTACCATGGCTAAAAATGTTCTTATCCTTGAAATAAATTAGTTATTTATTGCCAAGTATCTTCATTTCCCTGTTATTAATTCGAGTAACAGATTTTATTCTATGTACCTCATAAACTATACCTCATAAAAGTCAAAAGTTCTTGGGATTTTATATCAGTAGTAAACAGAGAAAGTAAGTGGCATATCTGAGTTCAACTCAGAAATTTCTAGACCATTTAATCAGACTCATTTTTACTTAAAAGAGAAAATTATTAAAAGGAATCTGACGGATGATCTAGAATGGGTGAAGAGTCTGTCAACATGCTTCCAAGAATGAAAGTTTAATGGAACTAGCACTGCAGTAAACTTACTTCATGCACTGCTGTTCTCTTTAAATCAGTGGTCTCTAGGAGCAGTTACCAACTGATGGGCTCACTGAGGGCTTTTTTATTCACTGTTTTGTGCTGCTTTTTTGGCTCCTAGGTTTGATGTGGTGGGGTATGGCTGCATGACCTGCATTGGCAACAGTGGGCCTTTACCTGAACCTGTGGTAGAAGCCATCACACAGGTAATTACAAGTGCCTGGGCCTCTACAGAGCTGTTGCTTATTTTCATATGATGTGTTACCAAAACACTGGTATTGTCCAAAAGTTTCCGGGAAGCAGAGGAAAAATATAGTTAAAAGTATGGTCTTTGGAGTTGAACTGAATTTTTAGCCACAAACTTTTAAGCAAGTTAACGGATTGACATGCTTTCTGTAAATGAATATGAAACAAGCCAAATCGTATTTCTCAACAGTACAGAATTTATGACAAACATCAAACTAATGCAATTTAATTGATCCATTTGTGTAAGACTTGTCCAACCAGTTTTTAAGTTGGAACAAACAGCACCAGGAACAAATAATTCTGGAGGCCTTTTTAGTAAAAACTAGCATTTATTGAACAGTCACTTCCTGTGCTAGGCACTGCAATAAATCTTTATTCCCATCATTACCTTAATACATACAACTCTGTGAAACAGGTTCTATTATTACAGTTCACAGTTATGGAAACAGAGGCAAAAAAGAGGTTGTTAATTAACTTGCTCAAGAATATATAGCTAATACATTCACTTCAACTTTAGCAAATGGCCATACACAAGAAGCTGAAGCAATCTCTTTATGACCTGGTTTTTCTCCTTATTCAGGGAGACCTTGTAGCTGTTGGTGTTCTATCTGGGAACAGGAATTTTGAAGGGCGAGTCCACCCCAATACCCGTGCCAACTATTTAGCTTCACCACCCTTAGTGATAGCATATGCAATTGCTGGGACCATCAGGATTGACTTTGAGAAGGAGCCACTGGGTAAGATTTTACTTGTACGAGTATAAATGTTCTTCCTAATGCAATTAAAAATATAACTGAAATTTACTGTTTTCCTTAATCAAAAGTGATGCATAGAACTTGGAGGTGAAAATTGAGGAGTGTTTTTTAATATCTCAATGCATAGGTAAAGCATAAAGCAAATAGCTAAATAAGCATTTACTAAAGGGTAAGAAATGACAAAAGGTGAGTTCGTATGGAAAATAACAGACATCTTGTTCCTGAGGACTCTTCAGCTCTGCTTTCTGGCTCCTTCAGTCTAAGGATAGGCATTATTGAATGATCTAGAATGGTTGAATAGTCTGTCAACATGTTTCCAAGAATGAAAGTTTAATGGAACCAGCACTGCAGTAAACTTACTTCATGCACCGCTATTCTCTTTAAATCAGTGGTGTCCAGGACCCAGCTGGGTCCACTTCTCAAAATTCAGAGAAATTGATGCTTTGTTTTCTTCTTGTTTGCTATATCCTCCTCAACCCATTCTAAGAATTTTATATAATCTCAAAGATGAGGCCACTTTAGTTTACTTGTAGTAAATCATATCTTTAGAGGTACAGTTGATCCTCATTATGTTTGAATCTGTAGTTTTTAATTTACCTGCTCACTAAAGTCCAAATCAGTCCTCATTACATTTCCCTGGTCATTCAGAGACACACAGAGGGATGGAGACTTTGAGTCACACAACAAGCATATCATCAGCTGAGTTGGAACAACGCAGTTCTCTGCCTTCTTGTTTCACCTCTCACACTATAAACAAATGGCCTTTTGTGCTGTATTTAGTGCATTGTTTTTTTGAATTTTTATACTTTCGTTGGTGACTGCACTGTTTACAGGGTTCTCCAAGTGTAGAGCTAACATCCTCTCTGAGCCCAGGAAGCTGGGATGTTCCTCTTGTTAAATAAGCTCCTTGAGGCATGAGTTACAGTGCTGACAGTCAAGAGCTCAATGTTAACGCATCAACAATATATACTGAATAAGGTGTCTTTAAGACACCAGAAACAGCACATAAAGGAAGATTGTGGGTTATGGATTGATGGAAATGTGACCAGAGGAGTCTAACTCTGTTTCCCCTAGGGACAGTGATGCGGGTTTTATAGACTTAACTACTCTGAAGAGTGAGACTTGACAGCATATAACAAATAAAATAGTACTGTATAAAATTCTTCTGATTAATACACATTTTTTTCTTCCAGGGGTAAATGCAAAGGGACAACATGTGTTTCTGAAAGATATCTGGCCTACACGAGATGAGATCCAGGCAGTAGAGCGTCAGTATGTCATCCCTGGGATGTTTAAGGAGGTCTATCAGAAAATAGAGGTGAGACCTCAGTCCAGCCTGCCCGCAAGGCCTCTGTGTCATCTCTACAGAGCTCAATAATCTATAGAAAGAATTATCTATAGAATAATCTATAGACAGTAACCTTCATTTCTTCAGAGAAGTAGGGAAATAGTTCTGTCATTTTTTTTGTTATGACGCACATTTTTACAAACGCCACACTCCTCAAATGTTCTGAGATTTAGAAAAGGGGGCCGCAGCCTTAAGAAGGCCTCAGGACTAATTCTTGACCAGCTCTCCATTAACTCCCCGTTCTCAGATCACTGGGTGCTGTGTCAACTGTAGTTGAAGACCCATGATGTCATTTTTCTGCCAGTGGACAGAAGTAAAATCAAAGGGACATATATGGTTAAATATACTTCTTGGAATTATTTGAGGACTTAAAAATACAAGTCACTCACTAAGAAGCACAAAACTACTAAACTATTGAAATAAATAGAACTTTATGTGCATTCTATAAATAAAGGGAAATGTATGAGGCTCAGTATCATATTCTGAGATTCTTTTATGTCATTCCTTCCCCTGCCTTCTTTCTTACGCTGACCCATAGGTTGCTGACTGGGGTTGGTGGTTTGAAATAAAGCGAGCAGACTATGGTGAGGAGTCACAAGGAGATCATATTCACATGCTGTGTACTTTTGCAAGTTGTTCACTATCAAATGATATTACATTGATTACATGCTTTCACCAAAGACCAACTTGATGTAACTATGAAGAGAAGTCAAGCCAGTTTGAATGCATGACAGCTGTTACTTGTTATTCCAGTGGCTTTATGAAAGTCCCCTTTCAAAACCTTCAGAAAGTAAATTTCTCTTATGGTGTAATCAGGATCATTATTTCAAAGTTACATAAGTGTGTGTACGTGTGTGTGTGTGTGTGTGTGTGTAGCTACATCATATATTTACACCTTACATATATATGTGTGTATAAAAGATATCTATTCCATGCAGCAAACAGCCCCAAAACTCAGTGAGTTAAAACAGCAAACATATATTAACTCACAGTTCTGTGGGTACAGAATCCAGATGCTGCTCACTTGATGCCTGGCCTTCACATGCCTCCAGTCAAGGTGCCATCTGGGACTGCAGCTCATCTGAAGGCTCCACAGGGGCAGAATCCACTGCTAAGCCACGCGTGTGGTTTTTGGCATGAGGGTCTCAGTTCCTTACTGGCTGGAAGCCAGAGACTGCTCAGTGTCTTGATGTAGTCCTCTTCTCAGATCACAGCATTATTGCTGGTTTCATTCTGTACAGGCAGGAAGCAGAGAGAGCTGAAGAGGATGAGAGACAGGGCTGAGTCTCTGTAACCTAATGTTGGAAATGAGCCACTAAGTTCAGCCCACATAGCAGGAAAGGATCACACAGGGTATGACTCCCAGGAGGCTGACGTGTGGGGCCATCTTTCAGGCTGCCGATCACAGTACACATTTTTTTTTTTAAGGTGATTTAGCATGGCATTGTGTTAGTCTAAAGGGACTCTTGCATGACTGTGCACAATAAAAATGGTTTTATTTATTGCATATTAAATTTTCCTTCAAATGGAATGTGATTATATCTACCTGTTCTTTTTAAGACTGTGAATGAAAGCTGGAATGCCTTAGCAGCCCCCAAAGATAAGCTGTATTGCTGGAATCCCAAATCTACCTACATTAAGTCACCACCATTCTTTGAAAACCTGGTAAGACTTACTTTTTAATGAAATGAATTCTTTGCAAGGTTTCTGACCAGATCTACTTTATTACCTTATACCTGTGCTGCAACTACCCATTTCATGAAAACTTTACAAATCCAAGTAGATAACACTGGGAGAGTTTTGGGAAGCTAGGGTAACTGGCTGAAGAGGACTCTCTTCATGGGTGCTGAGTGTGTGGACCCCCTCGGTGGTCCAGTACCACCTGCACCCAGACTCAGAGGTCTGAGGGACCGCTCCAGGAGCACATCGTAGGACCTGCCTTCTTCCAAACTTAAGACTCATGGAAACAAGGGACATCAGGTTATCCTGATTACACCTGACTAGCCAACCCTGAAACTGCTGCTCCAGGAGTTCAGTGCTCCCCTGGGTGGGTCCTTGTGGTAAGGAAAGGGTGTGGGCGTCAGGATGCCAGCTGTCAGCAGCATCTGAGGGTTTGCATGCATGTAAAGAAAGACTTGACATTTGCAGCTGCATCCCTTTGAAGAGATAGTGCCAATTCTCCCTCTTGCCTTCAAGGATGACATAAGAATATTTCAAGTAAATTCTCCTTTCCAAGCAGCCCTGATAAAGTGGGGGAAAAAACAGAGTTAGCTATATCTCATTGTACAGGTTCAGGGCTGTTGGAGTGAACCTGGGCAAACGCTGACTTGTTGTATTCTTTGTTAGACTTTGGAACCTCAGCCCCCTAAATCTATAGTGGACGCCTATGTACTCTTAAATTTGGGAGACTCGGTAACAACTGACCACATCTCTCCAGCTGGAAATATTGCAAGAAACAGCCCTGCTGCTCGCTATTTAACTAACAGAGGGTAAGAGTGAATAGGTGGGGAAAAAAAGGGCACTGATTGTACCATGTAAACTGAAAAGCAACAAACAGAAAGGGCAATTATTTTTCAAGCCTGTCGGAGACTTTTTGTCCCCAATCACGGATTATTGGGGGGTAGGGTCTCAAGGTGGGAGTGGCATTGGTAAGCCAAGATTCCTAGAAAAAGTGGAAAAGGAGAAAAAGGGGAGCAGGCATGAGGAAGACATGGGACTCAGAGTTGGGTGCAAGTCTTCCTGTTCTGCTCTTAGCAGAAGTTTATTTTATACATTAGGAGCAAGCAGTGGGATGACATCAGCACATGAACTGGGCTAAGAGATTATAATCATCTTTTTTTCTAAGAACAGTTTAGGGTCATATTACCCTTTAGCTGAGATACAACATTCATTATTCTTAAAATCAATCTATTAAAGTTAAGATAGGTACATAAATTCATAAAATTTGAGGCTAACATTGTTACATTTACCCCAGTGATGATTGGCTAAAATAAAGTCCCTTTAAGCCTTAAATGCTACTTAATGATCTTCATTCTCATTGAGACACCTTAGAGGGTAAAGTTGAGGACTAGGGTGGAGGCGGGGCTGTAGATGTGAAGGGGGATAAGGGGAGGTCGCAGACCAAGGAGAAGTTGTGAAAGAGGGTAAAGTAAAGTCGAAGACTAGGCTGAAGGATTTTTCTGGTAGATAAATCACTAAGGGAGATAATAAGATTCCTCATTTAAAGACTGAGCAATAAAAGCTTAGTAAGAGAGTAGAGTGATAAGATTTGGGTTCTGGTCTGGGCAGTAAAAGAACTTTAATTATATTTCAGCATGTTCTAGTACTGCCTTGTCTTACAATATTGATTGTGTTATAATTGTTTTTATTAATCAGCCAGTTGTAATATTATTTTTTGCTTTCTAGAGGAATTTCCTGTCTTGGGCAGCACTTGCTCACCTGAGCCAGGCAGCACCTTATGAGGCTAAAGCAATCCGGTTGCAAGCTGATGGTTGCTTAGAATATTTTGATATTACAAAAAAGGGAGGTCATAACATAAGTTAGTGTGGAAATTCTGATTTTTCAGAGCACTTCCGTCTCTATTCGGAATATGTCAGTCGATAGTGTGTCCCAAGCCCAAGGATTCAGTGAAACATGCCTATAAAGACCATATGAAAAGGGAACTAAATGCTGTCCTCATCACTTAACCTACCTATAGTTAGTTACAGAACATACAATCCCTCCATTCTTGGTTCCATCAGACTGGCTTGATTATTCTCTTTATGTCCATCTTAGCTGTATTTCACCTGTTGTGATGTTTTGTTGACTACCTTGCTGAATAAATAAAAAAAAAAATACTCTTAAATAGAGTCCTCCTCATTTTCCTACCTAGATCTATTAAGACTACATTGATCCTGGAAGAATAGTGATTTCGCTCTGGCCTCAGTTGAAACTGTGGGTACATAGCTTTTCTGTCACAGGAGAGCAATAACTAGGTTTATGGTCTTCCCTTTCTCACCATGCAAACTAAATTTAATCTTCACTCAGTTCACTAAACTAGTTCTTCTGCCTTATGTTACTAGCCTGACTCCACGAGAATTCAACTCCTATGGCTCTCGCCGAGGTAACGATGCCATCATGGCTCGGGGGACATTTGCCAACATTCGCTTATTAAACAAATTTCTGAACAAGCAGGCACCACAGACTATACATCTACCATCTGGAGAAGTTGTGAGTATTGCCTCTTCTGCTTCCTCAGGAAGCCAGCATATGTTAGGCTCTGGATAGCTGCATAGACAATCACTTTCCTTTTGTTCTTATTTTTTCTTAACAGCACCATCCTTCTTCAAGTTTCATATAGACCCTCTCGCCAGGTGTCCCTATATGTAGAGTTTTTCAGTGATGTCCTTTTAAAACTGTAAAACCTTGTTTTCCTGCTTAGGGATTCTGCTATTATTTAATTAAATCTAAGTTTCCTAGTTTAACCATGGTTTAACTAAATCTGGCTCCTGGGAATTGATCTTACAGAGTCTCTGGGTAGAATGGCTTCAGTTCAGGAGGAAATTGCAGGTTTAGAAAATATCTATCAAGAAGAGCTATCATATGACTTAACTAAAATTTAATTCGCTATATCCTCTAGAAAAAGGAGGAATATGGATGCCTGCATTGTCCTCGTGGGCACCGCAGAGCTTCAGTATTACAGCTAGAAGTGTTTGCTTATAGAGGGAAGGCACGAGGGAGAGGAGGAGGGTCTGCACCTGAGCCAGACAAGCCTGGGCTCGAGTCCAGCTCCACCTCAAACCAACCCTAGAGCCTCGGGCAAGTTATTTCCTTCTCTGAGCCACATTTTTCTTACTCGTGAAGTAGAAATAAAAAATACCTTATATGGTTCTGAGACGTGAATAGAATGACACGTTAAAACATCTGGTATAATGTCTAGTACGTGAAGTAATGTCACTTCTTGTCCCAGAGCATGCTGCAAAACCTCTTGAAAACTGTTTATAGACTTCTGGGGAAAAAGCCCTCGCAGCCTACTTTAGAAGGCTCATATCTACTATTTACATGGAACTCACTGCATCCCACGCAGTATTTGTTCTAAGCTCTTTGTAGGTATTTCTAACAATTCTTTGAGGCAGGTACCATAATCATCTGTGTTTTAATTAGGGACCTGAAGCTCAATGAGCTCATCTAACTCCCTAAGATCACACAGTGAGGGAGCTGAGATTAGAACCCAAGAATAGGGGTCTGAAGTCAGTGTCTTCTCCCTTCCCCCAGTCCTATGCAGACTGCCTCACTTGGGGGTGGGGGGACAGCTGATTAGATCTGTGTAAAGCAAACTCTTCATAGAGAATAAATGATCATCAGGAATCAGCATAAAGCCATTGCCCAACAGATCTGTTTAATGAATATAGCAGGCATGATAAACTATTAAATGAAAGGATGCAATTAAATGGTGGAATGCCCAAGACACCACAGGGGAAAACCTAGAGTTAGACATTGGATGCTACCAGAAAACTAACCAGCATGGTCAACATCACTTTTTATAAGCCTGCCATGACTTGGAATTTCGAGTAGTCAGATGTTCAGTGACCCTCTTAAATAAGGAGAGTGAGTCAGAGATGAACAGAACTTTGAGAGAGTCAGAGATGTACAGAACTGAGCCAAATCTTAATCGAGAAAGACAAAGAACAGGGAAAGGAGAAAGTGATGCAAAAACTGATGATGCAAAAAGAAGAAAAATGTAACAAAAACATCTCTTCAGAATGATTTTCTGTTGCTTCAAAATAATCAAGACAAAAAAGTAAATTTTTTTTAAGCCCCTCAAAATTTTCAAAGGAAAAGTCGATCATTTGATAAAATCTCCCAGAATGTAGAAAATATTCTCCCAGAATAGAAAAGTAAAGGGGAGATTAGAAAGAAAATTAAGGACTGAGTTGGGAAAGCCCAATTCTGACTGAATAGGGAAGCTAAAAAGACAGCAAAGAAGTGAGGAAATCGTCAAGGACATCATAAAAAGAAAACTTCAGATTGAAAGGTCTACTAATGACCAAATGATTGAAAAAGGCCCACTCCATGTCACATCATTATGTAGCCAAGAAAAGCAGTCATAGGCAAAGATCTAGAATCTCCAGGGAAGGGAAGAAGGCTTATATACAACGACTGGGGATCAGAAGTGTTTCCAGAACTGGGACCTCCCTGGTGGTGCAGCAGGTTAAAGTGCAGCACTGAAATGAAAGCAGCAGCTGCTTCAGCAGGAGTTCAGTCCCCACCTACGGAGGTGACCCACATGCCTGCTGCTCCCCTCAGCAGTGTACTTCATCAGTCTGCCTGTTCTGCTCCCCACTCCATCTCTGGTGATCCTCTCAGCATCCCTGCACCTCTGGCCTGTACCCCAGTTCTGTATGCATAAATAAATCTTCGAAAAAAAAGCAAGTAGAAACAGACTGAGGAAAATTATTTGTGTATCCTAAAAGTCTACATCTTTCCTGCTGACAATCAAATGATATTTAAATAATAACATATTCAGGAGCTCAGAGCTTTAAAAACATCCCTCACTCCCTATCTCAGGAAGCTATTTAAGAAATGTGTTCCACCAAAATGAGGAAACAAGCCAAAAAAAAAAAAAAAAAAGAGGAAGATGTAGGATTCAGGAAAAAGAAATGCAGAGAATCCTCAGGTTCAGTGAAGAAAGATTCCTCTGTAATAGGAACAGACCCCATCCGGGGACAGAATCAAGGCCTGTGAGAGTGTTATCACTCTGAAAAAAAGATTTTTAAATGCTTTCCTGATGTGTTTGAAAGTCTGTAGAGAAGACTTGTACTTTAGTTTGGGGAGTAGTGGATAGTGACATGGAAATAGGTGAACACACATTGAAAATTATTAACTGCTGCAGAAATTTGTTTTCCACTGCCAAGGAAAGGAAGTCATGGTACGTTAACATGACTCAACAATGAGTAACATCTATGTGGACATAATGCAAACACGCTATTGACTTACCAAAACCAAGACATTATATTGGGAAGTTGGGGAAAGAGAGGTATAAATGGTAGAGGGACAGGTGGAGGGCTTTGGGGAGTGGTGGTTAAGAGAATTAAATCCTCATCAAAGTAGTGAATTAACATAACGGAAGTGAAAGAATTTTTTGAAATGGCCGTTTAAATCTAATGCCTAGAGATACAAGGGCAAAACTGAATAAACAGCAAAATTTATGTTATTTTCCTTGGAAGAGGGAGAGTGCAAGGAGCCACTGGCTTTATAAACAGGTTAGCACTGAGTTCTAGACCTGCCTCATCCCTATGATGAGAAGACTGTCAGCTTTACAGTCTTGAAAGCATCATTCTTGTATTAATACCCAGGCTATTGATTGCTATCTTTGAAAACATCCCAGAGGGTGGATCTTTCTGGTCTTTTAAAGATCTAGACAAAAGAAGGCCTTTACCTTTTTAATAACAGTTTTTATCTCTATTCATGAGTTCTGGCCAGATGGAGACTTAGAGAAGCCTACCCAGGTTCAAGTCATGCCACATGGAAATTAACTACAGGTCCCATCGCATCCACCAAAACAGCAATTTGTAAAAGCCTACTTGAGTTCGATTAAACACTTTTCTAATGCTCCTTTAAGTTAAAGTACTCACTCTTTTTGAGGAATTTTATTCTGTGATTTTTGTAGCCAAGAAAAACAATTGTTTCATTACTCCATCACCAGCAATGATATCACTTCTGGGTAAAGTCTCCACTCAGCAGAAAGTCAGAGTGTGTGTAAGGAACAAGTAAATCTGTTTGTATATGATGCTTCTCAGAGTAGCTGGCCTGCCCTTTTTGTTTTTATTTCCATGCTGGTATCTATTGTTTCTGCCCTTGACCCCCACACAGAAGGGTGCCTGATGAACTGGACACTATATAATCTAGAGCTTGTTACTGCCTTTATTTTTTGCTACCCTCCACAGTGACCATTCCTGAGCCTCTAACACTAAGTCAAAACCCGTATTTAGAGTCTCCATTTTTTAAGTTTTAAAGTAGTCTAATCACCAGATGAGGAAAAATTCTGATCTAGTTTCCTTTCCCCCCATTGCTCTAGGATTTGAGTATGTTTCTAAAGCCAGGTCAACAGTTAGACATTTCACTTAAAAGAACAAAAAATTCAGTTTGGTGAGGGTAAATAAAATGGAGTTCATTGGAAACCTGTAGACCAGGCATCTGGCTGATTGATTTTCCTGTTGGTTTTGCACTGACTTGGGCCTCTATGGACCCCTCTGACTCTGAACATCTCACCAGATCTTATACACCTGTGTCCACACTCTGTGCCTTTACCCTGTCGGTCAAACCTTTTTCCCTTCCTCAGCTTGACGTGTTCGATGCTGCTGAGCGGTACCAGCAGGCCAACCTTCCCCTGATTGTCCTGGCCGGCAAAGAGTATGGCTCAGGCAGCTCCCGAGACTGGGCTGCCAAGGGTCCTTTTCTGCTGGTGAGTAAGATGTCGAGACATTCAGATAGGCAGCTGCCCTGTGAGCCAGGGGTGATGTGGGGAGGAGCCCAGGGTATACCCTAAATAAGAAACCACTTAAGGTATCTTAACTATTATATTAAAGTTAACTAATATTTTACAATGGGGTATCTAGTTAATGGCGTATCCTGGTTTAACGATCACTGCTTTATATGGCCAGTTACAGATTGCCAGTACTTTCTAGGAAGCTTAATATCAAGTCTATATTCAATGTATTTTGATTCTTGAACTAGAAAGCATAAAAGCAGCACACGGTATAAATTTCTTTGTAGTATATTTTGAAAGTCACTTTTAAAATTAAATCTCCAGTATCTGCCAGTACACTCACAACAATAGCAAAATTCAAGAGAAAGAAAGTAGTTGATGCCATGTGGTATGGATTCCAGACATAATGGAAATTTGCTCAGAGATATTACATAACGAAGTGGGTGAGAACATGGTCACAGGGTTTAAGTACCAGACACTGCCACTTACCACCTGAGTAGAGGGAGGACAACACTAGCATCCATTACCTAGGGCTGGCAGAGGGTGGCCTGTGAGAATTTGTGTAAGAACTTACTCAGTGCCTACATTGCAGGCAGCTAAGACTAGCTACCGTGTTACTTACACTAGAGGACAGCATTTTATGCAAACCATTAATTGGTATTTTCAAAGCATTTAGGTTGTTAGAAGAGCCTGACTTTTCCTGTTGTAAAGTTTCTTTGTATCTAAAGAAAAATTGGAACTGTGCCTAAACTACTTTCTTGACTCATCAGGGAATCAAAGCTGTCCTGGCTGAGAGTTATGAGCGCATTCACCGCAGTAACTTGGTTGGGATGGGGGTGATCCCCCTTGAATATCTCCCTGAGGAGAACGCAGACACCCTGGGACTCACTGGGCGGGAACGATACTCTATCATCATTCCACAGAACCTCAAACCTCGAATGCAAGTCCAGGTGAAGGTAAGCTGGAGACCCTCCATACCAGGCCCAGCCAAAAGGAGCCCTGTTTTTAATTAGGTCATTAGAAGGAAATGGGTAGGATTTGGAAGGACAAAAAAAACTCCCTCAATAGGACTGCATCAGACTTTGAAGTTCTCGTAGCACCTTTTTTCTACCTGCCTTCATCACATAGTAAAAAGATAACTGCTAATTTATCTATTCCTATTTATTCATGAAGTTAGCGTTTGTTCTACTCTTAACCTCACAGCCCCACTATATCCTGACTGCCAGAGAATACTAATGAAAGCTCTGGAAGAACACATTTCCACATTACCTAGAAAGCTCCTTTGTACTATAAAAATGTGAATGACAGACCTACTCACCCTAGCCTTGAGCTTCACCTAGCTCCAGGACTTCAGCCCAGAGTAAAATTGACAATCCTTTTGGTGAAGTAAGGATGAAGCACTTCTGTCAAGCTCCCTGAAGGTGGAGCCACCCAGATTGAGGCAACTGCTGAGTCTGAGTCCCAGAGTGAGCAGCTAGCCCAGCAGCCCAAGGGACGTTCTTAATGAAACCTGATGACCTGAGACACGTCTGTCTGAGGGGATCTCCTAGAGCAGGTTTAGACAGCATCATCTGAGCGTCACTAGTAGCTGCTGCCGAGAGAGAAGCAACTTCAGATTCTCAGGTGTCTCTCACCTCTGTTGCTTTATGCTCAGCTGCAGCCCTTGTTAAAATGCAGCTTCTGTAGCAGGGCTGGGCAGGGCCCAAGATTGCGTGCTCCCAGGAACTGCAGGTTCTGTGTGGAGAGCCCATGAGCCCTTAGGGCACAGTCTGATTGTGGGCTGTCACCTTGGCCCTTGGTGATGCCACCCTTTTATTGTCGCAGCTGGACACTGGGAAGACCTTCCAGGCAATCATGAGATTTGACACCGACGTGGAGCTCACTTATTTCCACAACGGGGGCATCCTCAACTACATGATCCGCAAGATGGCCAAGTAGACCCTTGTTTCTGAGACGCCGGCATGTGGAGCTGCCCCGAGGAAGCGCCTGAGCACCAGCCCAGCTTCCTGGGTCGAGAAGCACCCCTCCCCCTCCACGCAGGAGCTCTGCCTGGCAGACCCAGCACATGGGTGCTGCAGTGCTGGTGTCTTTCCCTCAGCAAAAAATTAGCAGTTTCTATATCCTCTCTTTTTTCAGTCTTTTTTATCTCTTTCTAGCATTTGGAAGTTAGAGTGGTGGGAATGCCAGTAGTGCCAGAAAGAAACAACTGAGCTGGTTTTTAAAAGTTCCTGATCACAACAGATTGATTTTTCACTCTTGTTAATGAGCTGAACATAAATAAGTCTCAGAGATGCCTTTTGTTGTTGTTCCTATAGCCCTCAGCTCAGTGAAAACTTCCCCTTGAGGGTCATTTTCCTTCACATACTATCCCAGTGTTAACTGAAATGGGTAGCTAGAAACTTCACACTTCAGATCATAGTAGTGCTTGTGATTCTTCCCTCTCCAGATACCTCCTGAACAGGTCAGACATTGAAATTTTTGATTATGTGCCTTTTTATAGTTCAACATTAAAGAAATATAAAATTTTCTCTTAAGATGTTCAAAAAATCTCCAGAAAAATTTTCATTTGTCAAGAGGAAAACTTGGTGTGCAGGTGGTTTTGGAGAGAGACACAGAACATTGCTAATATAAGTAGATTAAATCTATTTTCAAGGAAAACTTTTTGACTTTGGAATTAAATTCTGCTGTGTGTGTGACCATAGTTACAAGTTACATAGAACAGAGTGAATCTCTGACAACAGAATCCAGAGCCTGAATGATCTACGTTTTCTCCTTTTTTTACCACTACGGTCAGTGACATACCAATAAAGTGGAAGTACTGAGGAAGCAAGATGTTCTCTGCGCTGTTTAGGAGCAGACAAGAAGAAAACAATGGCAGTAACGGATGTGTGGTGAACAGATCACAATTTTGTGTCCTATAGTTTACTCATTTTCCTCACGGAATTGTTCCAGGCCTTCTTCGGCGGCATAACAAAATATCATAGGTGACTCAAATGTCAAGTGTATTTTTTCATAGTCCAGAGGCTAGAAGTTCAATATAAGACTTGAGTAGATTTATTGTCCTAATGAGCACTGTGAGGTTGTACATGGGCATTTTCTCACTGTGTCCTCACACAGCCTTTCCTTAGTGTAACTGCATGGAGAGGACAAACTAGCTCTCTGGTATCTCCTCTTACGAGGGTACTACTCTTACCAGATCAGGACCCCACCTTTATGATTCATTTAACCTTCTAAGGAAGTAATTAAGAGGCAACTCAGATTGTGGCTTCATTGTATAAATTGGGAAGTGGGGAGACACAAGCATTGAATTCATAACAAATTAGTGTCCTTGTAGTGGTTTTTAGTCTTACATATTCAGGGAATATGACCTGGTCATCAGAACACCTGAGGTCAAGTCCTGTCTGCCCCTCATCCCAGATACGGTCACGGCAGGTTATTGAGCATCCAGTTCTGAAGCCAAGGGGATCTAACTGTGTTCACAATAAAAATTACACAATCCTGTTGTGCAAAAAGCAAACCTGTTGGGATCAGTCCTAACATAAAAACACTAAGCAAAGATGAGAAAACAGACATCCACCCCATTACCTCTTCATTACTGAATTTCTGGGGTTCTGTCTTAGCTCCTCATATCGTCATATCCAGCAGTTATGGAGAAACATTCTTGTATCTATGATTTATGGATAAGGGGTCCCTTCATTTCTAGAATGAGATCCCCTCACTTTTGGACTCCCCACCTCTACCTCCAACATACCCTTTATCCTGTCCACTGACAAAGTGCCTTTGCCAATGCTGTATCCTTACCCACTACCAAGTTGAGTAAACTACTTTTACCTAGTTTCTCAAGAAGATCCCGGTCCTCTTAATTCTTTAAATTAAAAAGATGCTGCTCTACTGGTCCCAGTCCCCCTTTTCTTTAGTGCTTCAAGATTTCTAAACCCATAGTGCTGATTCCTCTTAGGGAAAGAAGCACTCCCTAATGTGCACAGTGGGCTAGCCAGCAAACTTACTTAATATAATGAACAAGCCACGTGTCTGTGTCCATGAGGCAGCCTTCATATAAATATGTATATACACCATGGCTTTATAGTTCATGAAGAATAACCCAGGGGAAGGCTACATTAGTCGTGTCTCTCTCAGTTACCGTGTTACTAACACCACTCAAACTAGCTTAAGTCGAAAAAACAAATTTACTTGGCTCACCAACCTTGAAGTACAGGGATGGCCATGGCCAGAGGCTTGAATGGATCTAGTAACTCCAACTGGGGCTTCTTCCCCATCTTTCCCTCTCACTGTGCCTTCTTCCATTTGTAACAGCCTCATTCTGGGCCGCTCCATGTGCAGCAGCTCTGGGATAATAGTAACTTGTGACCTTACAGATGTGTCTCCCAACACTTTCTAGGCTAAAAATATTGGGAGTTTCCTAGTTGTCTATAGAGAAGCAGCTTGCTATTTGGCAGTTTGCTTTTCAGGCAGTGCAGAATACCCTTCAGGGTTGTGTGAGAGCTACTTCTGAAACACAGGAATCAAGTTTCCACTTATGCCATAAGAAGCTGTCAGATGTCATCACCACAAACAGAACTTAACATCCAAGTACTTTTTACCACCCAGTCTAATTATCGTGAACAAAGAATATGTAACGTAGCTGATAGTTTAAGTTTTAATAATTTGTACCTATAGCTGTTAGCTTTGTTTTAATAATTTGCATTTAATAACTTCAAGTCTGTATGGGAAATACAGATTATTTGAATGAGATTTATAGTTTTATTACATAGTATAATAAAAACATTATTCATATGATCCTGAAAAGAATATTCCAATTTGGTTATGGTGTCCAATGAGCATCTGCGGTGGATACCTGCTGCCAGATGTTAACAATAGCTCATGAGTACGAGGGTTCCAGATGAATATACTGACAGTCACTGGGTCTTGCTAAATTAAATGGCTTTTATTGTGCTGACAGTGGCACAATGTATGCCGTGAACAACAGCCTACAGTACAGGACCTGGCTGCCCTCGGTACAATTTCTTAAGACATCTCACAGCACCTGTGTGCCACAGAACACACTTGAGGAAATACTGTCCGGTTTGTTTTTATAAGCTAAAAAAAAAAAATACCAGTTTTAGGGACAGAATCCAAGTTTACTGATTTTGTTGCACAACAAGGCATACAATTGAAGGTGACTTTTCATTTCATGTAAAAATAGCATCATGGTAGACACTGCCTAGGGCTACAGATAACATATTCCTGTGGTTATATAATGGATTATAGCTGACCCACCTGAGGAACTTAGAAATATGACACCCTGACCATGTGCCCACGAAGTAAGCTCCCCAGCTGGTTCTGAAATGCATCCAGTGAGCAACATCTGGGTGATGTTCAAGAGTTAACAATTCTCAAGACCAACCGACCCATTTCTTTCACTCAAAAAATACCAGCCAAGTGCCGATTCTATACTGCAGGTTCTCTGCTTGGCAATGGTGTGTCTTGTTCAAACAATAAGAAAACTTTGGTTTTGTCTGCAAGACCTAGGGGAGGCAACAATACATACAGGGTTTTGGCATTTGACCATTGTGATTGTTGTTTTTTTTTAAAGATTTATTTATTTATGCATATAGAACTGGGGTATAGGCCAGAGGCTCAGGGGCGGCGAGAGGCTTCACCACAGACAGAGTGGGGAGCAGAACAGGCAGATCTACGAAGTACACTGCTGAGGGGAGCAGCGGGCGGGTCAGGAGAGGTCTGCCATGCCATGTGGTCACCTCCGGGCAGGCAGAAATCAAACTCATGGGGAAGTGGCTTTAGCTTCTTAGTGCTGTGCTTTAACCCGCTGTGCCACCAGGGAGGGCCGTGATTAGCTTTTGATGTGCTAACGTGGCTAAGCTGAATCACAGTCCTGTTACTCATCTGAAGGGAATCTAGATAGAATTGAAGTTATATGTTAAAGGGCATTCTTGGCGAACCTGACAGTTTTAAAAGAGGACTTAAATCTTTCCTGAGGGTTCCAGTCTACTCTAGGTCTTCCCTTCCTGAGCACGTGCCCTAAAGACTTCACACTGCTTTGCCAACCTAACTGTGTAAGCCGGTCCTTGTAATTAAGCCCTGTGTGTGTACACAAATGCGGACAGATGCGGGTATCTATATATAGATCTAGATATATATAGATCTAGATATATATAGGTCTAGATATATATAGATGTCTATAGATCTTTCTGAACATACTGACATCTACATGTAGATGAAAATACAGTCTCCTACTGTCCAGTTGATCCCTGAGTAACATGACATTTTTAAAAAGTTTAAATCTATTATGTATATTCGTGTGTGTGTGTGTGTGTGTACATATTACACTAAGTGCAATTTACTATATATAAATACCTATGTTCTGACTTGTTTGTCATCTTCAATCAATATGCCAGGTTTTAGAAAGCTGAGTTGAGAATTTTCTTCAATCCATTTCTTTAAAGCCTAAAAATGGAAAAGCAATTAAATTATTATTGGATACAGCTGAACCAGTCCTATGAGTGCTGGTAAAGGGGTATTGGGTGTAGCTACTCAAAGGACAGTGCCAGTGGAGGACATGTCACTATGTCACTATCTGTGTCTGTGTACTCTTCACTTACAATAGCAAGACCGCTCAGGGAACAACAAGAAGGGGGTTTATTTAGCAAATGGGGAAAACAGACTTCAAAGCCATTAAGTGTCCAAAAGTTCTAAACAAAAGGCCAGCCCTAAACACGGGCTGGTGTCCAGTCAACACGGGCATCGAGCTCAAGGAGCTACGACAAAAGCAGTGGGATGAAATCCAACTCACCACAGCTGGAGGTGCTCCCAGGTGGGGCCGCTGAGATGATGCCGCAGTATTCCCCAGAAACTGAAGGTCAGGATGGACAGCCCCGAACGCTAGACCAGAGAGCGATGGAGGCAGCAGCACTGGGTGGTGATGCCGCCAGACAAGAGCTCTCCAAAGGTGACCTGGAAATACAGTACCGGTCACTACAGGTCAGTAGCATTACAACTCCTCGTAAGTTGTTGGCCCACACCAACCACAAATAGCTCTTTGACACACCAGGCCTGAGGTCTGGTGCTCCTTTCAGGTGATGTGAGAGCTAGTTTGGAGTTGAGTGCAACCAGCCCAGCTTCTGAGTTTTTTTGACTTCTCTGTGAAGCTTTTCGGCTTTTCTTCCTTTGGAGGTCAGCTGATGGATGTATCTGAGAGCAGCTTCCAATCTGAGTGAGCAAGTGTCCAGTCCAGTGAGCGTCCTAAGTGAG